AAACCATGGGAGAGTCCAATTAAGGCCGGCACACACCTTATTTAGATGAAATAACAAGGTGTACGGGTGTTTACCCATGAACATCACTTAACCGACCAGTTTGGGCCAACTCTGAACTGATTCTGAGGAAATTGGGCCGAGCTCGACCCGAACGGCGAATATCAGTTTGGAGGCTGTAACTTTAGTCTTGACCCAAACCCACATTCGGCATGGATCTGGGTCCGGACCAAATTATCAAGATTAAGTCCCGCCACTAGGGGTTCCAAATCGTATCCATATCCAAGAAAATATCTGTAACCATATCTGTTAGGATACGAATATGGTTACTCAAATCTATAACTGATAGGATATGGTTACGGATATGTTTTTGTAGTGAAATATCTGTATCCGTATCCGAACACATATTGGTCATATTCTTACGATAGTTTCGAGTCTTAGATTATGGATTTGTGATTAATTTTGATGATCAAGATGTCTAATCTTAGTTTTTCAATCATAATGAACATATTAACGAACTCTTTTTGTATCACATGACTATATTTTTCTGAATACTAATCTAGTTTTCTAATATCCTTTTTGTATCCGCATGCATATTCGTTTATATATCCGCATCTATATCTGTAACCATATCCGATTTTGGCGGATATGGATATGAATTTTTCTTACCGACGTATATCGGTATCCGAGATGGGTAAGCGAATATGGATATGGTAAGTGTCATATCCGAGTTGTATCCGCTCCGTTAACACCCCTACCCGCCACCCAATATTCCGAAACAATCCACAACCCAATTCCCAATCTAGTAACTCGAAGCTAAGGGTGGAAACGAATCAGATTTGGTCGAATACCTTTAAATTCGAATTCAAATTCGGTTTACTCTAGCAAATTTGAATTCAAATTCAAATTCGTGTTGAATGTGTAGAAGAAGTTCAATTTTGATTTGATATGTTAATTAGCTATTCGATGAACACTCATTAATATTTGCTAGCACACTTGGTGGAGGCACTTGCTTTTTTAATTTGACACCATGGGTTTGAATCCTATGTTGGAATATCATTTTATTTTCTTTTTACATGTTGCATAATTACTTTGTCATTATTATGACATCTCACTACTAAAATTATTAAATTTATATATTTAAAAGTTACTAATTCATACATTTATGAATAGTAATATTAACATAAAAATTAGTATAATGCAATAATGTAGAAGTAGAAAATCATCTCATTATAGCTTTTAAATCGACATGAATTCATTTCCTATCTAACATTTTTAGCAACTTAAGAATGTAATTTAAGCTAAAATTTGCATAATAATTTATTTATAATAGATATTTTGTCATCATATATGTCGATATGGTTAAAATCTTAAATGCAACTTTAAAGAATAAACATTCTATGATAAATTAAACTTAGAGGAACAAAATCTAAAATGTAAATAAATATTTAATAATCAATCTAATCGAATATACCCTTAGTTAAACTTTATTCGTTTATGAGCTGAATACTAAAAATATTCATTTATAATTAAATAAACTATCGAGTCAAATATGACTGAATATCAATAAAAATAATAACCAAACTTTTTATTAATTATTTAGCTCATTTCCACCCCTACCCAAAGCCATAATGCACATCCCATAAGACATCAATCCAGAGCTTATAATCCGTAAAGTTGCAGAAGATCCCCTCAAATTCAATTTTATTGGTAATTGGATGACAATTCTCCTAAATATACACTATTTTCATCCACGTTTATTCAAAAACTTAAAATATTTTTAAATTTGCATTATAAACATGCATAGTTTGTAACTTTTTACCATTAAGGAGTTTTATTTTTCTCAATTATGCTATGCATATCAATAATAACTATACTAACAAAATAGCAATCTCTTGTTACAATCCTGGTCATGTATCACTGCCAAGTAAATTTGTGTAAAAGTTTGCATTTTAACCTTTAAAATTTTCTGCTTGTACATGCTACAAATTAGTAAACTATGGGGCAGTTTGGTTCAAATGTCGAAATTTTAGGATTTATAATCTCATAGAGAATTTGAAATCCTTAGGTTTTTATACATGCGTTGGGTTGTCTTAAATTTGTTTGGTTCAAATTATTATAGGAAAGCAAATACTAAAATTTATAATATATTTATTTGTTCAAATCACAAATTGTAGGATAACAAATTTTAGAATTTGTAATCTATAGTTGAACCAAACAAATTTTAGGATTTCTAAAAGAAGGATAGGTAAATATCCTTATCTTTGAGAGCTTACCTCCCACAAGAGAACAATAAAATTGTATAGCAATTGGAGTAACCATACCCATTAAAATTTAAATTCCAACAGCTATAAACGGTCATATTTTTGCAATAGATATAAATAATACTCCATTCCACTATCTTCATGAGTAAATCTTTTTTTGCATATAAGAAGCATCCGCATAAAAGAATCCAGTAGTTACTATGAGATACAAAAATGATGCAATTGTAACTCCCAACACTGTTGAAGCAATGCAAAAGTAGCAAAATCATTGGCCATTATAATTGGCGTTGTGCTAAGTATCCAAAGAAAGAATGTAATTTCTTTTAATGGGCTTATGATGATGGTGAATGCATGAAGAGTACCGGCAAAAACAACAATGAAGCATTGGTTGAAGATAGGATGAAAAATTAAAGTCAAGATTGAAAGTTGTAGAACGAAAAAATTATAATTTGAAAAATGTGTGTACCTTTATTGTGTGTATTTCTATATTTTATGTCTTGTACTTGCAAAATGTATAGAATCTAATATGAAAATTTTAGTCTACCAATTTTAAAACTCCAAAAGAAACCCCGAGACAATGTAAAATAAAATGCAAGATAACAATAACATAGAAGGCTTAGAAATGGCCATTTTATCAACGTGGAATGCATCACATATATAATATAATAGTATTGTAGATTGCATTCAAATAATGGGTTACCTCATCTAAATTACAAGTGCGATCTAGACTATATTCTCATCATTCAATGCCTTTTGTAAATAAAATCACATCGTAGGTTGCATTATAAAAATTTGATCGATCATCATTGGCATACCGATATAAACCCTCATAAAAGCAACCAACATCCTATACCATCAATGAACCAATATCAGCTTAAACCAAAAGTAATTAGCAAGGCTTTCAAATAAAAAGGAAACAATAATAAATTACAACCAGCAAGCACAAATCAATAACACCAGCAAGCAAGCTGAAACTGAAAGGAAACAGCAAGGCTAAAATATAATCTACAACTGAATCATATACTACACAAAGTAATAGCAACCAACAACCAGCAACCAGCAACCAGCAAAGCTCAATTTAGCAACCAAGAAGATCAAATCAACAACCAGTAGGCAACTAGAAAGCAAGTTTTAATTTTTGAGATGCCGTCAAACTCAACCTGCAAGCAAACAACCAAAAAGCAAGCTGACTAAAGCAAGCAGCAAGGAGTCAGCAAGTAACCAATGAGCAACCAGCTCAAACTAGCAAGCTCAATATAGCAACTGGTAAGAAAGAAACTGTTTGTTGGAAAATTTGCAGTAAAAGAAATGAAGAAAAATTGATTTGTATTCCTTTAATCTTAATGATAATCATATTTTATTACAATTTTATACCCTCATTATCTATTTTACACGAATAAATATACCATTAATAATTGTTGTTAGATTAGTTTGCACATAATTGAATAAAAATATAAATAAATATTATTAAATGTAAAAACTCCTTAAAAATCTCTCTTCTCTATTTTGTAGCATTTTTGAAGCCACAAAATCAAGCTCCTTGAAGGCCCAAAGCCCATCAACAAATAAATACACAAATGAAGTTTCAAATTGGACATGGATGCAAAGAGTTGGAATGAAAGGGGCTTGGATGCAAAAATTCGGATTTTAATGAATGGAGGCCGGTTTCATTAGTTGTGCTGCAGACTTGGGCTTGATGGCTTGATGTTTTTGAAAATGAAAGAGAAATCATACATGGGCCGATCTTGCTTGCAACTTGGAAAATCAAACATGGGCCGATCTTGCTTGCAACTTGGAAAATCAAATATGGGCCGAAAATCACAAGTGGTTGCAGCTGGATTTTGAAGAGGGCCGGATTTTGATTTTCTTTTGAAAATCAAATGAAAATCAATTAGGCCTCTTATGATTAAGAAAAGAACAAAAAGCAAATTCAAAGGTGGAGATTGTTACTTGGGGCTCAAGACAAATCCAATGGCTCATATTCATTGGAGATTACTATAAATAGGGGTAGAAAGTGAGGGGTTAGGGTGTGAAAATTTTGTAAACTCCTTTTGGAGAGGAGGGCTACTCTTAATTGAGAAGGCCTTCCAAAAATTGTAACTTTAGTTGCAATTAATAATAATAATTTTTTCTCTTTAAATTTGTTCTTTCT